CGATAAGACCGTGAACAGGAACCACAAATCGTGAACCCCAGAAGTGAAGCGGTGCGTTTTGATCAAGCTCATTGTGTTCACGGACGCATCTTGATGTTCACAGCCATGAACTTGGGCCATGAACTGGGCGCGATCTCAGTATAAAAGGTCAGTTGAAAGGTAAAAGAAGGGAGAGACCTAGTGTGAGAAACTTCTTCTTCTTCAAATTTCTAGAGTGAGAAAGTGACGAATCCAAGAAGAGGAGAAGTTAGGGTTTCATCTTCAAGCAAGGAATTGGGAATTCCTCCCCCAAGGAAGGATCTCTTCAACACAAGGAGCAAGGCTGGCATCTCTTTGATGGTTTTCCTTCTTCTCTCTTGTGTTTTCCCTTCTCCTAGCATGGAGTAGTCCCTTCTTTCACTTAGGTGTTTGTAAACCATAACTACAATTATGTGAATGCTTGTATGAATTGAATGATTTGTGTGTGGTTGTGTTAATGTGAATGTGGAGGTATTATTCATGAATGATTGTGTTGTGTTGTGTGAAATCCTGACAATCTAATTGCCATTCTAACCTAGGTAGAGAGAAAATCCCCCTTCCTTTCTTTGAAAAAGGCTTGAATGCTGGGTTTACTTAGGAAATTCATTGTCTCCTAGTTAGGTTAATGCAGGGCAAACCTCCTATTTCGTATTACCACCTAGGGTTTGGTTGTGGGTGGCCGTCCGAACTCCGATTCGAGGGTGAAGTCTAACCAATCCTTAGTCAATAGGTTGAGAGAGTCGCATTAGTGGCTTGGATCATATCCCCTTTCCTCGACCTAGAGACTAAGAGGGTAGCCTTTGGCTACATGTTAGACTTCCCTACGGTTTACAACCCCCTCACCTCACACAGTCTTTCGATCCATCAAGTTGTAATTGCTAGTTAGGGGGAGCAACACCCAGGTGAAGTCTTCTCAATTAGTGTCAAAATCATTTCTCTTTGCAAGTACTTTAGCTTTAGATCTTTGTTTAACCAAAATCATCTGCTAGATAATGTTTCAAACAATCGAAGTAGCGATACATGGGTCCACCCGGGTTGATATTTAAACATACTTGCACTATATTGCACCCATCTAAGGTTTATACTTGGCCCTTAGGTGGGATTTTATTGTGATAGTCGGAGCGAGTCAAATATTCACTTTGATATTGATAGACCGTTAATTGCACATATTTTTACCTCCATTCTTGAGCCGTTTGAGATGTTGATTCTAGTGTTTTAAGCCGATTTCACGCTAGGTTGTGTGTTTATGTCATATTTCAGGGCTTGGCGTTGGCATCGAGGCGAAGAAACGAGGTTCGGGTCGAAAGGAGGACGTTTGAGTTGAAGTGTGCTGGAGGAGCAAAATACCCGGCCATGAGCAAAAATACCCGGCCGGGTATTAATCTGAGGAGGCCGGGGAAAATCACTTTTGGACGTTTGAGAAACAGAAGGGGGCCCGGGCGTTCGACAAAGGAGGAGATGCAAGAGGATCATGCACCACCTACACACAATCGGAAAACACCAAGTCTAGCACAAGCAAAGCACACACACTTGCAAAACTGGAAATTAAAAGCTAGATTAACAACCAACAACTTTTTCAAGATAACAGACCGTTGTCCCCGGCAACGGAGCCAAAAACTTGACTCGCACGAAACTACACCACAATAAAATCCCAACTAGAGCCCAAGTTTTTAAACTCTAGCTGGGTGCAGTATAGGGCAAGTATTTAGATATCGACCCTGGTCAGTCCGTCTACCCCTACTTCAGTTGTTGTAATCATTATCTAACAACAAAGTTTTGGTTTAAAGGTTCGCTAATCAAAATCCAATAAGGCAAAGGTAAATGGTTTTGAAAACTCTTTTGTGGGAGGATCACTCGGGTGTCGCTTCCCCCTAAATGCTACCATGATATGTGAATTGGAACGATTGCTTTGGGGACGGTAATTGCGAACCGCAGAGGGATGCATATATGGTCGGAGACCACAATCTCAATTGCTAAACCAAGATAATCATAAAAGGTCGTGTCACTCGACCCTCTCGGTTTAGGCAATCGGTAATTGGCTTACTCCCTCACTCAACTCAAAGGTCGGAAGACTTACTCGCGATTAATCAATTTGCTTAATTCAACATTGAGGGTTGCCCTAAATTAACCTAGTTATGTTGCTTAAAAAGCTGAAGGAAAACCAACTCGATTGAGTCTCCTTTAGAAGGGGGATTTTCCTCTCTAAGCTAGGTTAAGGTGGCTAATTAGATTGCTAGCACCAACATGCACAAACCTAAGGGTGCTAATCACAATTATGCACAATCCTTAGGTTGCTAAGCACCAAAATGCACAAACCTAAGGATATTAAGCACAAAACATGCACAATCCCTAGGTTGCTAAGCACAAGCATGCACAATCATGATGAATAATGCCTCAATCATTGAATTAAACAATACCCAATGACAATCATTCAATTCACATAAAAGAAAACTACATGGTAGAATTAAGGTTTCACAACACCCCAAGTGAAAGGAGGTCTACTCCATGCTAGAAAATGGGGAAAACAAAAGGGGAAGAGGTGGAAACCATCTTGGAGGATGCTCCCATTCTTCTTGGCCCTTGAGTTGAACTTTCCTTGGAGGAAATCTTCCCAAAATCTGCCTTGAAGCAAAACCCTAGCCTTCTTCTCCCTTGGTTTGTATTTCTCTCCCTAGAAATCTGAAGAAGGCTTTTCACACAAAATGGGTTCTCCCTTCTCTCCTCCTTTCAGCTCATCTTTTAAACCAGAGACGAGCTCAGTTCACGGCCTGAGTTAACGGCCGTGAACCATGAAACGCGTCCGTGAACTTCCTGGGAAAGTCGTGAACTTAGCCATTTTTCATCACTTATCCCGGTTTTCGATACTTTTCGCCCAACTTTCGACTCCGAGGCTGGTTTCACCTGTTGAATCCTGAAACATGCTAAAACACGAGCAACCTAGCGCAAAACCAACCTTTTAGGAGCGAATTTGGCACAAACACCTAAGTAAAACGGGGGAAAACATGTACAATTAGGCCCGAATCAGTGTATTTTTTTCAAATACCATGTAAGAGTGGGTCGACCCGCCCCTAATCCGGACCCATAGTAGCATGGGACGAAACATGGTATTGAGATACCCGCCCCGACCCATTGTAAATATATTTTTATCGTAAAATTTTCTTAAAACTTGTATAAAAAAAATTGTACTACCCATAACTAGGGGTGGAAATCGGTACGGTATCGGTATCTCAATACCAAATACAAAAATCTCGAATACCGAATTATACCCGAAAGTCAATCCCTAAATAATTTCGGTATCCCAATCCCTAAATATTCACGTATCCCAATCGGTACTTCGATATCCCAATCGATATTATCGAATACGAAATAAATTACATTTGAAATAAATAATTAAATATTAATTAGATTTGATTGTTTAATTTAAGGCAAAGGACCAAGCAAAGAGTCTTGAGTTTGCCTAGAGCTAGGATATGGATAAGGAGAATGAAAGAGATGTGACATATCAAGTTCTTGTTATTGGTAATCTTTAATTTGACAAATTGAAGGTTGGGAGACGACTAATACTAGTGTTTGTTTTTTGGTGTTATGAAAATATCAAGTTATTAGGTGAGAGATGAGAGTGACTTAAATTGGAAAGTCAAAATTGAGTTGGATGGGGAATTGTGAATTGTGAAACAAAGATGAAATGATCTATGTATAATTAAATGACACTCTTGGTGGTTGAGGGTCGTGTAGTAGTGAATGAGAGAGTTTAGTTGAGAGGATAAAATACACACTAGCTTATATTTCGGTATTGTTAGTATTTCGGTATAACCGATCCCAATCCCGTAATCCCTAATACCGAATTACAATTGAAATTCAATCTCAATCACAAAAAATAATATGTGTATTCGATAATACCAAATATAGACAAATTCGATATGGTATTCGATATATCGCAAATACCGGTACCAAACTTCCAGCCCTACCCATTAGGGGTGGAAATCGGTACGGTATCGGTATCCCAATACCAAATACCGAATACCGAATTATACCCTAAAATCAATCTCAATCCCAATCCCTAAATAATTTGGTATCGCAATCACAATCCCTAAATATTTTGGTATCCCAATCGGTACTTCGGTATCCCAATCGGTATTATCGAATACGAAATTAATTACCTTTGCAATTAATAATTAAATATATAAATTAGATTTTATTATTTAATTTAGGAAGAAAAGACTAAGCAAAAAGTCTTGAATTATGATATTATTAAGGAGAATGGAGGAGAGGAGACATCTCAAGTTTTTATCATTGGTAATCTTTAATTTGACGAATTAGAGGTTGAGAGACGACTATTAATAGTGATGAAATGATCTATGTATAATTAAATGACACTCTTGGTGGTTGAGGGTCGTGTAGTAGTCAAACAGAGAGTCTAGTTGAGAGGATAAAATTCACACTAGCTTATATTTCGGTATCGATCGGTATTTCGGTATATACCGATCCCAATCCCGTAATCCCTAATACCGAATAGCAATTGAAATTCAATCTCAATCCCAAAAAATAATACGTATATTCGATAATACCAAATATAGATAAATTCGATCCGATATTCGGTATATCCCAAATACCGATACCAAACTTCCAGTCCTACTACCCATAACCCTTTTGACAGCGTTGGCTGAAACGCAAAAGAATATAAGTTAGAAACAGGGGGTGATTCGTAATTAGATCCATATGCTGATATTTTCGACCGGACTCGATCGGTTCTGTTCCTGCCCCACATTCGTTCCGTTTCAGTATCTGGTTGCCCTCCAACTCCTTGTCGATCTCTTTACCTTCAATTCCCTTGGGAAACCCTAACTTCTCCAATCTAGGGTTTACCACGCTATACCGTTTCCTTCTATAAGCATGTTTGCGCCATAAGGCTTGAATTTTCGGTCGAGAGAGGTACAGAGGTTTTCGTTTCGCATTCTCAAGTGCCTGTTAGAAATAAAATTATGTATCATCGCGATCGGGGAGGAGCCGGCAGCGTTCCATCGAGGTCGGAGCTTGTAGGAAGACCCCTCGATCGGAAGCGCATAAACGATGCGCTTGACAAGCACCTAGAGAAATCGTCTCCATCAACTTCGAGGGCCTTGAACAGCAAGGACAAAGAGCGGTTGTCCGTACCATCCACTTCTGCGGGCAAATCGCAGCTCGATCATCGCGATTCTCGAGCAGCTTCTCTATCCGAGAACAAATGCTCCGATGGTAGGTTTTCTGGTTGGATATTCGTGAAACTGATTATGGGTTTGCCATTCTTTCATAGCTTTCGACCAAACACTTTTGCTCACTTGTTTTACAGAAAATTATTTTATTTTTGGTATATTTAAATTTGCTGTCAAGATTGCCAAGGCAGCAATGATTAGAAATTGTTGAAGCAGTCATCCTGTCCCACAGATTGTTGTTCAACTGCATCTCTACTCTATGGTTTCAGTGGTTTCCATTTGGAAATGAGTAATGCATTGATTAATTGCTGTCTTCTCCATCTAGTAAGAGTTCTTCGCACACAACGTAATCATTTTCATGTCGTTGGGAACCTAAAATGTGCCACTCATGAAATGCGATGTTACCCGTTAGCTTCTTCCTTTCAACTTGTAAACTGTCTAACGAGCCGAATGGATTGCTAATTCATAATGTGGTGACCTCAACTCTTTTACCTGTTTTTGATGAGTAGATTACCTTGTCCCTTGCTATGCTTTGTTACATCAGTTCAATTAAATCGGATTACTTGCAATTAAGTCTTATTTGAATATGTATTTTTGCAATGAAACTTGCTTGGCCTGATCTTTTGTAAAAAGAAGCATAGTCAGTGAATCCATTTTGTGCCAATAATAATTCTTCGTATAATATTGTGTCCAACAAGTGTTCTTATTTAATTAGATTCCAGGGGCTGATCTAATCTGAACAGGTTGTTGTGTCATGGCAGGTCGCTAGTTAATATTCATCTCTTTTCTATTGCCAGGAAAATGGAACTTTAACCCTTACATTTCTGACTTGGCTACTATTTGGTGTGCTGCAGAGGAATCTGAGACTGATAGTGAAGAGTCAGATATAAGTGGCTCCGAGGGGGATGACACATCCTGGATTTCATGGTTCTGCAACCTTCGAGGAAATGAATTTTTCTGTGAAGTGGATGATGAATACATCCAAGATGATTTTAATCTTTGTGGATTGAGCAGTCAAGTTCCGTATTATGATTATGCACTTGATCTTATATTGGACGTGGAATCTTCTCACGGTAAGCTTTGCTGAATTCATGAGGCTTCAGTTCTAGCCTATGAATTTAATTTGTGGCCATACGTTTCTGTCAGCTGTTATAGGAGTTACTGAACTTTTAACACAATTTTGTTTTACCCTTGCTAACCTACAATTAGGGGTGTTCAAATGGTTATCATGGTAATTACAAAACCAATAAGTCTAAATTCTATTAATCCTGGAATACAATATTATAACTAAACTATCCAAACTAATGCAACAACTAAATTAACCAAATTAAAGTTTAATCGGTAACCAGATTAATCAATATAAAATCACATTATCATTACTGAGTGAGAAAAATTTTCCGGTTGATGATCAATTCACAATTTATATACAATGAAAAACATAACAATCAACACATAGCTATAATTAACCCTTAACATAAATAAATGCAACTAATACAATTATATTCAAGACAATAGAAGTATTCACCTATCAAAATTTTATGCAATGGTATAAAGTTAATGAATTGTTGTGTTTGTGGGAATTGACTTAGTCTCTTAGCAATTATCATAGGGTGAATAAAACATTTTTTCAAGTTTTCATCCAACATAATGTATGAGTTTTCATACAATATAGGAACAATATTGACCTTGATTTTTTTATGAGCTTAAAATAGAGGAACGTTTGAGTCTTGGTAATAATATATATGACTAATTACTTAATTGGTTAGTTTGATTTCATTAGTTATGGGTGTCTGAAACCTAACCAAACCACCTAAACCAAACAAGCTAAAAATTTTAACCAAACCAAACCAATTACCCAAATTAATCAAACCAAATTATCCAAATAGTATAAGCTAAAACGGTTACCACGATTACCACTCCATTTGAACACCCTTACCTGCTGCAGTGCTTAGCACCTAATCTGAAATTGTTTTCTCGTGTTTAGTTGCATGAATACTTCATTTTTTCTTTTGAGGAAATTTTTTCTTCGAGGTCGTCTGGAACTTGGGATTTTAGGGGTTGGTAGCCACTACATGTAATCATAACAATTCGTTGTTTTTTTTTAATTATTATCTTAAAATGATACAGAATGCTTGTATTTAAACAACAGATGGGACCACCAGAATCATTCATTATGAATGAAGAATCATTCATTATGAATGATTGTCAATCTCAACTTTTAGCAGAGATTGTGTTTGAGGGATTGTTAGCATACTTTTTTTTTTTCTTATTCTTTGAGGGACCACCAAAATCATTCAATCTCCAAACAATGTATTTTTCAATATACATTGAAACAATGCATCTAATTATAATACATACATTGGTTAAATACATCAATTTTGAGAATCCTAACTTCCAAATATGGCCTTAAATGATGTATTCAGTCAATACATGTACTTAGGAGAATTTGTCTTTTTTTGTCTTAAATCATAAATTTGAGTAGAAGATGAGACCACTAGAATCATTATGGATGATTGTCAATCTCAACTTTCAGCTGAGATTGTCAATCACTCATTTTTTATTCCTATTTTTTTGAGAGACTACCAAAATCATTCAACCTCCTAACAATGTGTTTTTCGAATTCATACATCGATACAATACATTTAATTAGAATACATAAATTGATTAAATACATCAATCCTAACTACCAAACATGATCTTCGTCTTTGTATTGCCTAACCTTGGACAATCTACATAAGTGCGTGGACGTTTTTGTGAACTCATTTCCCTATTAATCATTTAGTAAATCCAAGAGCGGGACTTGATGTGCTTGGGTAATGTTCTTGCTGTAAACCTTATTGCGAAATGATATAAGTTAATCCCGTGGTTTAGACTGTGAGGCTTGTTGTGGAAGCAAATAAAATATTACTGGGTTGAGATTTTAAAAAGTTGGTTTACTGCAGCGCAGAAGATACTCTTGTAAGAAGAAAAAAAAAAGAGCCCCTTTAGTTTGACCTCTTATGTTTTTATATTTAACACCTATGATGGATTGTTCATGCACAGGTGATATGTTCACTGAAGAGCAGAATGAGTTGGTGGAGTCAGCAGCAGAGATGCTGTATGGCCTAATTCATGTGCGTTATATACTCACTAGCAAGGGCATGGCTGCAATGGTATACGCTTTGTGCTGAGATGCTTTCCTCTGCTTTTCTTCAGTTTTCTTTTTGCACCTGGGTTTGGGTATAAGTTTGGCTGTCTGCAAAAACATGTACAGTTGGAGAAGTACAAGAACTACGACTTTGGGAGATGCCCAAGAGTCTACTGCTGTGGACAGCCCTGCCTTCCAGTTGGCCAATCCGATATTCCTCGTTCAAGTACAGTTAAAATATACTGCCCAAAATGTGAAGACATATATTACCCTCGATCAAAGTACCAAGGCAGTAAGTGTCCTTTGTTATTATTCGACAATTGTTCTTTTGCCTCTACTCTCTACCACTTGTGCTTTCTGTGCTGTGTATCTTTGATGTAATTGGTTAGCTGGTTTTCAATGACGTATGCACAGACCTTGATGGAGCATACTTTGGGACAACGTTTCCTCACTTATTTCTGATGACGTATGGACACTTGAAGCCACAGAAGGCAGCGCAGAGTTATGTGCAAAGAGTTTTTGGGTTCAAGATCCACAAGTCCTCCTGAGTTCAGGACGAGGGTGGTTCACATTCAGCTGTTGGAGTGGCCGAGATTGATTCTCCCAGCAGGCTTCTCTGCCGAACAGGTTAGTAACTAACTGGCGCAGAGGGAGTGGGAACTGAGAATGGGTCGTCCAATCAAAATCGGAGGCTGTAGTGTTATTTGTGAAATTCAACGTATTAGCATTTGTTATATATTGTTATTCGAATTTCGAACCCTTTGTTTTTTGCTGAAAATGAATCTTATTACCTTGTTTCTGTTTCTGGCTTTGTGGGTTTATTTCATGTTAAAGCTGAGAATTGTATCTAAAGCGATTTTGTCAAAATTGGACTGGATATCGGCCCATAAGAGATTTAAGGTTTAGCATTTGTGATAAAATATTGTCGCTAAATCATATTTCTGAAAATAAATACTAATTCGAAATCTGCCAATGGAGAGATTTAAGGTTTAGCATTTGTGATAAAATATTGTCGCTAAATCATATTTCTGAAAATAAATACTAATTCAAAATCTGCCCATTGGTAAATATAATATAATAGCCAAATATTTTGTTTCAAACAAATAATAGTCATACCTTTTTAAAAATAATTTAATAGTCAAACCATCAACTTTTCGTTCGGTTGATTGTTAGTTGAGTATGACGTGGCGAAATTTAAAGTGAGCTGGATGATTTTTGCTGATGTGGCAAGAAGTCAAACATTTAATCATGCCACATGGATTACTATTCTTTTTACAATTTAATTTTTTATTTTCAAAATTAGAAAAACACAATAAAAAATAAAGATGAAGTTTATTCATTCAACTCTCTCTCTGTTCTAATCCGTCTATTCAACTTCCTCTCTCTATTCGAATCCTCTCTGGCGGTAAGGGCACTCTTCATCGTCGTTAGCCAAGCAAGCCACTCGACTTTCTAAAGTCCAAATATTTGCCTCTCTCAAATGGGGATTTGATTCCTCCAGATCAACTAAGGAGGAAGCTTCAAGGACTTGGATAAGAGACACTACACCAACTTTCAAAATTGAGGTCTATAGCCGCACCCGCCACCCAAATTAGGGATTTGATCCTCCAATTCTACTACAGGGGATGCATCATCGGAAATTACCAGCACATCTTCACTTCTGAGACTCAATCTCTTCAGGGACAAAAATGGGAATATGATTCTCCAGTTTACAACATTTACCAAAACAGAGCTCTGAATCTTATTAATCTCTTATGACCGCAGTAGTACGCGGCTGCAGCGGCGGTTGCCCGAATGGGACGAGGAAGAGAAAAAGTTTTTCTTGTAGTTGAAGATGTTGTCGTCGTTGATACGAGTCAGAGCAAGAAGAATAAGTGTTGCCGGAATCAAGGTCGCGTTGTGGTGGGTCAAGACTGAGAGGGCTAGATCGGGGAAGGATGCTGAACCAATTGTCGGATTCGATTGACGGGGTCGATTGACTCGTCGTTAACAGAGTAGTGGGAGTGAGGCGGGAAGATCTGGTCGGCTCTTGCCTGTTCAACGGCAATCCGAGAAGATTCCCCGGAGGGAAGGAGTTTGGTCTTTGCTCGCCGCGGATTTGATGGGCTGGAATTGATTGTCCTTGTAATCACAACAATTGCAGGAGGAGATGCCGAGAAGAGGAATCGACCAGAGCAGAAGGAACAGGGCATGGCTTTTGTGGTGTTTTGACGGACAACTGGGGGAAGGGCTTGATCGACGAATGGGGAAACGGTCGGCCTGGTTGTGAAGTTACTCGACATCGGCGTCGGACGACTGGGAAAAGGGCTTGATCGACGAAAAGGGGTTGAGAGTAGGGATGGCAACAAAACCTGAACCCACGGGTACCCACCCAACCCAATCCGGTCAACACGGGTAAAATCCGTGTTGACGGGTTTTGAGCCGGGTTTGGGTTTAAACCTGTTCACTATTCACCGGGTTGGGTTGGGTTTGGGTTTAGGTAAACCCGACCCATGGGTACCCGCCCACACCTATATAATTAATTTTCTCGACATATTTAATATTTTAAACAACTAATCTTATTTATGTTTGTGGAGACATGCCTAATTTTTTCTCTCTAGTTATGTAGTATGAAGTTGATGTTATCGAGTGGAGAGTGAAAAACTTAACTGAAAGGAAGAAGCTTTCAATTAATCATGTTATTTATGGATAATTTGTGATTTGCTTCCATTTTCTTGAGTTTTCTAGATTGGTGTTGAACAATTTGTATAGTTAATTTGTGATTTGCTTGAATTTTCTAGAATGGTGTTTTATATATGGATAATTTGTATTGGGAGATTGATATTTTACTTTAATTTTGATAGGAATTTGTTATTGTGAATTTTTTACGATAAAAACCCGTGGGTACCCATGAACCCGCGGATACCCAGCGGGTTGGGTTGGGTTTGAGTTTTTCAAACCCAGTGGGTTTTACCCCGGGTTTTTTTCACGGATAAACCCATGGGTTTGGGTTTGGCAAAACTCGACCCAACCCGACCCATTGACATCCCTAGTTGAGAGGCGGAGAACAAGGATAGGTGTTTTGAAGTGATTGGGAAATTTCTCGATTTTATTTATTCTATTATTTGTCTAATTTTTATTTATTTATTTTTATGAAAACAAAATTTATTTTATAAAATTATGTAATATCTATGTGGCATGGTCAAATGTTTGACTTCTTGCTAAATAAGCAAAAACCACCAGCTCAGTTAAAATTCTGTCACGTCATTGTCAATTAACAGTCAACCGGATGAAAAATTGACGGTTTGACTATTAAATTATTTTAAAAAAATATTTGGCTATTATTTTGTTTAAATACCAAAGATTTGACTATGATATTGTATTTACCAAAAGAAATATTATTGCGCTATGAAATTCTTTACTCTTTAGGGCATTCAAGATGGATTCCGTTTTCCACAAGGTCTAAAAAGTTTATTGAGAAGAGATTTCCTGATAGGGAGTATCGAGTTTGTAAATAATGAAGACGGATTGGGGAAATTTTGGCTGATGTGGAGGAAGGATGTGGAGCTTTCTGTCTTGCACCAGTGATACCAATTCATGCAGGCATTAGTTAATGATGGTGCAACGTTTTTTTTTTTAGTAGTGGTTTATGGTTTAAATGTTGATAGTATTAGATTGAAATGTTTGAGGATCAACGCTAGTACTTTGCCTTGAGTGATTGTTGGTGAATGGTAACTTCATTGTTATTACCAATCAAGGCGATGCTTCAAATAACCTTGAGTTCCATTCCGGTGTGGGTGATTGTAAACAATGGCTAATAGAAATTAAAGTTGAGGATCACGAAGTAGAAGTACCGTGGTTCACCTAGATTAATAAACATGCATTTATTGTTAGGAACGAAACAACAACAAGAATGAGGTTATCGAATTTGGAACTGAGTCGCGGATTAGGTCGCTCTCTTTAAGACGTTTGCGGCACTGCCCTCGATGCGCACGGCAGACTATCAACTGGTCGTCTCCAGGATAAAACAACTCCTCTTTATACTCGCGGTTTTGTGCGAAAACCCGAATTCTTTGAACACTCTCTCTATTGTGTTTATGCTCGTATTGTGTTGTGTTTAGAGGGGATGGGGAGGCGGCTATTTATAGCAATCGAACCCCTAAGAATATACCCTCTTGCTTGGGGAATAATTCGGATTAATTAAGAAAGATAATGACTTCCTTAATTAGAACCCGTCTGTAAGATAATTCCTGGCGGGATTATCCTTCGAATATTCCTTTTAATCGATTATCCTTAGAATATTCTTTTAAATAACCGATTAATAATTAATTATCTAATATTTAATTTCGTTTGAAATTTCTCCAAATAAATTATCTAATAATTAATTTCGTTCGGAATTTCTCCAAATAATTAATGATCTAATAATTAATTTCGTTCGGAATTTCTCCATAAAATATATAGTCTCAAGTGAACCAACCAGCCAACCGACCGACCGGTCGGACGGCGCGCGCATGTGGTGGTCTGTTAGGTCCTCCCTCTCCCACAAAAGTGGGTCACCCCAAGAGGCATGCCCTTAGGAGAGAGACTCCTATCTTTATACACATTTCACCAAGTAAAACTACCAATGTGGTAGTTTTTCCAACATGAGATTCTATAGCTTTCAAAGCTATTCACTCATTTCCAACAATCCCCCACTTGAATAGTTTTGAAACTATTTCTGAGCATTAACAGTTCCATAAGATCGGGCATAAGCTAAGGTATCGCGAAGATTTGAACCTTAGCGTAGTGGTTACACTTCCGATCTCATAAGGGTGACTCGTAGTCTTGAACCCTATCTCAGACAGTGTAGCACACCAGATCTTTTCATTGAGTTGTGTTCTCTTCTTAGCCCGTGCGTTTATGGCCATGCACGTTATCCTGGTTTAGTGAACGCTCTAGCATTTTTGTGCCTCCAAAGTTCCATAGGGAGCGGCCCCACTCCCACATTCACATAGGTGGGTCTATCAGAAGTACCCCCAAAGTAGGGCTAGCTATTTGGACCGGGACCGGATGAAAAACCGGAAACCGGACCGTATAACCCGGACCGAGACCGGATAGTAAACAATCCAATCCAATCTTTGGGCTTAGATTTGAGGTAAAAAACCGGATAAAGACCGGGTAAGAGAGCTCAACACCCAACACTTAAGGGTAATTTGCATAAACGGTCACAAACCTTTGCACTTAGTACAAAACTTAACCAACTCCTCACCCTTTTAGGCCACTCCAATTCCCACAATCTCAATATAAAATCAAGACCGAATTGGGATCGGACCGGGTCAAGACCGGACTGTATCCAATCCAATCTTCGGTCCTTATATTTTCAAAAAAACCGGACTGGACCGGATCAATTTGGGCCAATTTAACCGGACCGTATAGCCACCCCTACCCCAAAGTAAAGTACTCCACCCAACATAGGGTATAGATCTCATTAAGAGTTATTAACTCAACCTCCATTGCTTTGGGATTCATGCTTCACTATGCATGAACTTTTCGCATACTACTCATGACTTGTTATTACCCATTGAACCCA